CCCAGGAGCCCAGGCCCCCAGCCCCCTCCTCCCTCAGACTCAGGAGTCCACACCCCCAACCCCTTCCTCCCTCAGACCCAGGAGTCCACACCCTAGTCCCTCCCCGCCTCAAAGTCCCATGCAGCAGCCCACCTCCTCCTCTGAGGGGGACAACCTAGGCAGAGAGGTCCTCTGGTGTTCCTCCTCCCTCTTTTTTACAGAGACCCCTCTCCCTCTCCACTTCCCCCTTCAGGGTTGGGACGGAGGGCTGAGTCACAGGAAGCTCTGGGGCCCTGAGTCACCCCCACCCCCTGGCTCAGCCCCTCCCTGGGCTGGAGGGAGCTGGCTCTGGAGCTGTGTGTCCTACCGACTGACCCCCACATCCCAGAACTTCCGTTTGGAGGCAAGTGCCTTTCCCACTGTGACCCCATTGCTGCCCACCCTGGCCTCTCCCATGGCCGCCTTCGCTCCGTTTTTCTCTCTTAGTTGTGGTCTCTTTGGAGACGAAACTTCTGTCTGCTCTAACTTCCATGTCCTGATCTGGGCGTCTGCTTTCCCTGCACCTCCATGTCTCCTCTCTCCACCTCTTTGATTTTTTCAAATTCTCTCCCCCTCTCAGTCTCTCTCCCCGCCTGGCTGGACCCCTCGGGGTCTCTCTGATTGCTCCCCCTGCCCCATCAGTTTTCACTAGGCCCCGCACTGAGGATCGGTGGCTCAGGGGCTGGGTCTGGAGGTCTCCGTTCCGAGGCCTCTGACTCGGGCAGCCGCAGCCTGTGTCTCTGGCCTCTTGCCCCTGAGTGGGGCTGGTGGAACCCGAAAGGGCAAGGCTGCCCCCAGCTGCGCTGGTGGACGGAAGAGAGCAACTGAGGCAGAGACAAGCATGGAGAGGTCCAGAGAGAGGCAGAACCAGAGACAGAGAGACAGAGAGAGGCCCAAAGGGAGGTTGGGAGGCAGGGAGACAGGGAGGCAGAGAAACTGAGTCATAGGCAGAGACACAGAGAGCACAGAGATGGAGATAGAGGGATGGTTACAGGGAGAGAGCATGAAATAGAAAAACAGGGGGACACAAAGATGGAGACAGAGACAGAGATGCTAAGAGAGGCACAGAGACACAAAGAGGCTGAGAGACACAGAGCCAGAGAGAGAGAAATGGCAACAGACACATGGATGGAGAGAGTTAGAGATACTGAGAGACAGAGCCGGAAGAGACAGAGGTCAAGAAACAGGGGAGAGGACAGGAGAGACAGGCAAAGGCAGAGACAGAGGCTTCCAGAGCAGGAGAGACTGAGGGAGGAGGCAGGTAAGGTCTGAGAACCCGAGAGGGAGGAGGAGAGGTGCAGAGAGACCCCTGCCAGGCCACAGGGGTGGCAGGTAGCAGGGGGGCCCCCGGCGGCAGCGTTTGCTCCCAGCGGGCACGTGCATGGTGTCTGGGTGTGCGCGGCTGTGTCTCCACACTCTTCCCGCTCTCCCGCCGCGTCTCACCCGGAGTGGGAACCCCACGTGTGCCATGGAGCGGGCGGAGCACCCGCACGCGTGGTGTTTTCGTCGCCGGGCGTGTCTGCGTGGGTTGTGTTGGTGCGTTGCCAGGCATGTCTGTGCGTGAGTGTCTCGTTTCCCCGTGGCTGGCGGGTCCACGTTCCTGCATGACAGATGACACGCGAGGGAGAAGGGCTGTGTCTGCGAGTTCCCTCTCCAGTGCGACCCGCGGGGCCGCCGGCTGGGTCTCGGAGGTCAATGTGTGCGAGGTGTTTTGTGTCGCCAGGCCGGTGTCTCCCCAGGGTTTGGGTCTGTTTCCCGACGTCCGGGACACCGTACGTGCTGCTGCATGCAGTGACAGTCCACGTTGCGGGTCACCCTGGGAGTCGCGGTGCATCACCCTGCACTGCATTTGCTGTTCCGTATGTCACTGTGTGTTGTGTCTCTGTGTGTGCATTGTGCGTGTCAAGGCGAGCTAGCATTCAGAGATGTGACCCTGTGTGTCACACCCAGGGGTGTGTCCATTTGGGCGGGCTCTCCTTTCCCTGCCGAGAACACAGCCTGGGTGCCCACACTCGAGAGCATGCTGTGTTTGTGTGGCTGTGTATTACACCGCACCGGAGGGTGTCCCCTGGGGTTGGGTGTGGTGTTGTTGCAGGCCCAGGTGTTGGCTGTGTCAGTGGGTCACACCTGACGTTTTATGTGATCCGTGGTGTTCAGAAAAGGTTGTGTTGGGAAAAACCGTGGCAGCGTGTTTTCTGTCACTCTGTGTTTGTGCGTTGGAGTAGATGGTGTGCGGGGCCGTGGGTGGGCGTGGTTCGGATGTGGTTTGTCAGTCAGAGGAGATGATGCATTTGGGCATCAGGGTCCATGTAGCCTGAGCCCCCTCCCCAACCGCTGGGGTACCATTCTGGGTCGTGTCCCTGGGATGCACCAAAATAGATCAGAATGTCTCACTTTGTGCTGTTTGGGTTTCTGTATGTGTCGCTGTGCATTGTGGGTCTCTGCGCGTGTCCGTTCACACTGTTCTGACCATATGTTTGGAGGGCTCTGGGGGTGGGGCGTGTTGCATGTCGTGGTGAGTCTGTATGTACCGCGAATCGTTCTCCGAGCCACGTGCCACAATGTGTCTCCGCGTGCGTTTCTCTATGTGCTGGGTGCTTGAGGGCTGCCATGGCGTGTCCCCAAACGTTGTGTGTCTGCACATGTCAGCTACCATTCCACGGGTGTATCACGTTGGGACGCTGTTGGCGCCTGGTCCACACAGGTATGCTGAGTGCAGCATGTGGGTGTCACTAAGTAGAATGTTGTGTGTCCGCGGAACCACTGGTGTGTGTTGTGCTAATGTAGCAATAGAGTCTGGGGGTGGCTGTTTGTGCAAGAAGATGTACCAGTTACAACCGCAGTCTCTGTGCCTGTGTGTGGACGGTTTGGGTGGTCATGGGCGCCCCGGGGCACTGCCTGCCGTGCTGAGTGCCGGCGTGTGTCACACCATCTGTGTGGTGTCTGGGTGTGGCTGTGGGTTGCAGAGCTCATCGGGAGTTGTGAGTCACTCACTGTAGGTTGTGTTGTGTGCCCCGTGTGTGTTCGGTTCCGTCTCTGGCCGTGCTGTGTGTGAGGGTTTATCC